TTGTGATATAAATATTTATTGGACTGCACGATTGAAGTCCACAGGAAATTTCTCTTGCCGTCCGTACAGTATCCAGCTGGTCGCAATGGAAAATGAAGTATATATATTCGCTACTGTACTGTTATTCGCTTATAGAACATCCCCAACGCAAGTGACATTTGCTAAAGGTGAGAAAACTAAACCATTATTGAAGTACTACAAAATTTGCTACAGGTAAAACTCTGTTCGTATCGGTTTAGGTATGCTGGCTTTTTCAGCTGAATCGGATAAAATGTTGTGGCTTTTTGTTTGTGATCAATGCTGTCTTATGGTTTATTGTATAAGGTGGCCTCTTTTTTCAAACCTGTTATTGTCCATGCCAAGTATTTCATTAATTTCGTTTCAAAATTTCAGTATTTCTCAGTGTATTTCGTTGCAGGAATATCCTAGCTAAGTGTACATGTATGGTTACCAAGAAAGCAATATTCTAACTATTATTAGCCAGAATTCCTAGATAATGATATATATCTTGTGGTTCAGTTTTACCCTTGATACAATTTGGTGTTTACCTTGTACTGTCTGTATGGTAATATATCATACTGCATATGAAACTAAGGATAATACCAAAATGTACCAAAGGTGATATTGAATCACAACATATATTTCAAATAACTCATTTTTCAAAAAGTCAGTATCAGAGAATCTCATTACTTTGAATGAATCTATAATTGTTGTGGTCTATTATGGGTCGCGGCATGACTGTGTCTATTTCGATCAATCAATAAAACAAAATTATCACAAGAGGAACATATATGCATAACTATTACATTATAAAATATTCTCCTTGCGCATTAAATGTCCGGTTCTTTGGGACCAACCCATCATGGAGTAAGTACCTTATAAAAACTTTTTTCCAGACTAATTTAGGGCCGTAGGATCTTTATCTCGCTTCTGTTTCTTGGACTAAATCATAAATATTTTCCGCGGCTACCCATCTTAGAAATTTGCGGTTTATTACTTGATCTAAAACGTTTCACCTAGCACGTTAGGGGAAGCTGGGATCCTGAAGATTTGAAGTTAATGATCACTCATATTACGTTTAAAAACAACATGCAAATATTGCAATGCATACAAGCAAATACAAACAAAATAGTCATTAACGGTGAAAATGGTCTCCAAGAATTTTCATCTAGGATTGAGTGTTAACAACTAACTACATGTAAACTAATTTGAGATTGGTTGAATTCATTGCAAAAGTAAATTATAAGTTAAGAATAGACGATCAGGTTCCGGGTATTCCCTTATGATACTTCGTTGCATTTTATCTCCGTATTCCTATTCATATACTCAAAATGCCTTATATTAAAGAAAGTGCGAGTCTAAATGAACGAACGAACGAACGAGCCATCAATATACACAAAGAAAATCAGTAAGATCAACTACATGTGTTGTTTGTTGAATTGTAGAATGGACAAAGTATCTTTGGAGGAGCGGCCTTGTGAATCGCGGCTTATCTAACGCAGTATCTTGTCCCGTGCTAGGAACTCATCAGAGACCTTCCTGCTTAAGCAAACTCAATGAGCTCCGCGCTGATTGATTTTACATTTCGTGACGGAATACCAAATATTTCTTTCCTGATGGTTAATGTGTCCACGGTCAAGCGAAGGAAATCATCACTTCAATCAGTTTTACTTGCACCAATCACTGACAATCACTGCATTAGCTGTTCCACTGTTGACTTACACACTTACAAGATCATTCGCATTTTTATGGCTTAAGTATAAATAACAGTAACAAAACTCTGTTTCCTTTTCCTGCATGATTAATGGCATTCATGTACAGAATTTGGCGTGGAGTCATCTTCCGAAAAATACAAATACCATTTACAATTGTTTGAGGAAAAACATTCATTATTCAATAAGAAAAAAAAAGTTTGAGAATTGCAAAGGAAAATAAAAAGCCAAGTCCAGTATCTGTAGAACCATTCTGTCATGAAAGTAATATCTTACCTGCATATTGCAAGAGTGCTCGAGAAGATCCTCCTGAACAATTGTAATAAAAAGCTAAAACAAATCCCTATTTAGTCTCAGGAACATTTTCATGACTGTCAGAGGTTGCTGGGCATCTGGTGTCGGTTGAAGACCATCGTGTTAATTGATATCATAGTCATTTTTTTTGTCTTTCAGTGCAGGAACAAAAGACTGATCTACACACCTGCATCACTAAGTAATCAGTCAAGCATCTAAATCTAGCGGTTCGAGTGCATATTACTAGCCATTCCCCAGATCAAAATAAACTTCATCTAACAAGCTACCAATTGAATTATTATAAGAATAAAACGTCTGCGCGATCGGATCAGTGTGTAACGACTCCATAATTGAATAATGTAAAGCTCAAATCTCTTGTGATCTGAATGTGTGAATATAATCATAGTATGCTAATTTGCTTCGTAATTTTATATAGATAACCGAGCAGCATATCTGCTTCCTAACTCGACAACCTTTACCGTTCCTGATGGTACATATCGTCTGAGAGTACTTGCCGTGGGAGGTGGGGGTGGTGGTTGCGGAGGAATAAAGCAAGGAAGAGGCGAAAGCGGCAATCTGGCGATAAACATTATACATGTTAGTGGTCCAAAGACTATCAATGTCTTAATAGGCCGAGGTGGACTGGGAGAGAAAGGCCACAGTGTAGAATCCGTTTCTAATGGACTGCAGTCACAGTTTGGCAACTATGTAACCGCGCCCGGAGGCCGCGGATGCACTAGAAAAGTTTTGGGCTATTCCTTGGTGCAGGTCAGAGGAGTAAGACATCTGCAATTAAGCAAGATAACAGAAGGTAAATTTATTACCTAGTATCCGTCGTATTCGCTAACTATTAACAAAGAATCCACCAGAATTTCGAGAAACAAGTGGACAAAAACTTTGTACCGAGATTGTTTACATCGTAATGTAAACTTCTCTGCGACTGTTTGAAATATCTTTTTGCAAGAAATCATTTCTAACGACACCAAATGTAAAAAAAAATCAAGTTTATTTGAAACACTTGAAAGTACTGTTGAAATGAAACTACCTGTGTTTGGACACTTCTCTGAACTTTGAAATTTATTTTGTCGAGTTCCCATGGGAAAGTGTTTTCGTTGTTGTCAGCTTCAGGCAATTATTTATATCTTCAGCTTTTAGAAAATGGAAAAAGGGCTTGTGATATACTTAAAATTACTAATAAAAATTGCTCTATATTCTATCAGATTTCCTCTTAATAAACTTTGGGTAGACATGGTTTTCTAATCATTAATTTTTCAAAGTTAGCGCAACGCACAATCTACCAAATCTATACTGTTGTGGCGATTCCAGGATAGCTCTCAGTCAAAAGCTTCTTTTTCTTTCCTTTTCTAAACTCTTAACCGTCCTTCCGGTCGACTTAATAAATTAATAAACTACCTGAGCTAAGACGATTAAAGGAGGAAAGCATAATTATCGAACACATATACTTTTTTTCAAATTGGAAGGTAACATTTGAAATAATACATCAAGATTTCGTTGAATTTGAATATCGTAATAAAAGGAAGTTCTTTTTGATCTATTTCAAATGGATAACGATTATTAACTTGTCCCTTAAATCTCGGAACAGTTTTTTCTTCCTTTTAATATGATTATGACCCCAACATCCATCGCCAAGCACAGAACCACTAATGTATACTTCATATAGGGTTTTAAAATCGTGGTATTTGGTAAGCTGTCTTACGAAGCTTGGTGAAAATATGTATGTAAATCAAAGTTGCCATGAGCCACTCAACTTGGAAAATGGATCGTCTGTAAACAGTGACAATTTTGATGCCACTGACTTGAGGTCTTAATCCGTACGTTAAGTTAAAGTTAAAGCTCACTGGCAAAACGCAATGGTAAGAGAATACTCGAGGAGATGTCACGCCGTTGAAAATATTCGTGAAGTTATTGGTGATCCTTGTCCGAGACAATTATAACGAAAGTACCGCTTCTTGTCCAATCACCAAAGCAAGCACAATCGTATTCTCATTTTCATTCCAATTTTTTTCGTTCTTTACTTTTCCAGGCGATATCAGTGATTTTTTTCTTTCTTTGTTGCCTTTTGAGAGATCTTAGAATCATAACGTAGAGTAATAATACCACAAGGACAGGGCCGCGTCTATCTCGTCCACTCAACAAAGTTAATCCCTGATCGGCGAGGATCCTGCTTGGATGGGTTGCCAAATGCGAATACTCCGTGTTGTAATAACTTTTTTTTCTTCCTTTTTTTTTTTTTCTTTCCTTTCCAAGGCGATATTAGTGACTGCTGAACTCCCCGTCTTGTGTAATGTCTTTTGTTTTCTGTTTATCAACTATTTTGTACAAATCATTTCGCCATGTCCGTATTCTTCTTTGAAGAATTTATTTACAATACTGTGTAAATAATAGCGAAACGCGTCGTTCGAATTCTCCTCAATTCTCTTGTCTGTTGATCGGCCAAAACGTTTAATCACGGCTTGAATCATACCTCGAAAATTTATTAGCTCATCAATTTTGTGATTTTCAATATCTCCCTTGCTTTCGGCAATCGAGTACGGTTAAACCTGTACAAGCATACGCCTTCGGGAAATGAGCTATTTCTATAATTAGCTTCTCTTTATGAAAACTTCCGTGCAAAAATCTATTCAATTTAGATCACTTTTGTAGTAAGATATTGAGTACTTGCGCCAGAAATTCAAAGAATAACTAACTTGACACGGTGCAATCGACTGTAAAACGGCCTTGGACAGTGCGATATTCGAAACCCGGGGAAGAGGGGGGAGGGGGTGGACTCCTATACGGAAAGGTCGGGGATGCTCGTCGTCTCGGGTACAACTCCAGGATTCTGGTCTCACTTAAGGTGTTGATAACGAAACGCCACCATTCTTAGCTGTCAAAGTATCCTTTAAGGTACACTCGAAGAAATAATGATAAAAGAAACGCTCTCATTTGTTTTCCGCTGATCTCTCGAGTACGCGAGTCGGGTCTACAAGTGCACGCAGGATCCTTTCTTAATAAACTGTGGCTTGTAATCGAACCTATTCCGTTTTAGGTGGTATCTTTTCGGGGTCTAATAAAGTTCAAACAATGTCCAAATCAGTCTTCTTTAGGAGTTAAGTTCAAATTTTCCGACGAGCACCCCTGACCTTCTCATATGGGAATTTCCTCCCCCCCCCTCCCCCACCCCGGGGCTCCAAATCTCTAACAGTAAGTGAAGGAGTGAAGGAGTGATGGAGTGAAATCGTCCCACCACTACAACTTGGAAAATATGAATATTTTCTACGTTGAAAATGAAGAAAAATAAGAAATAATTTGAGCAATAGAAATAAAAATTTTGCTGTCGTCGTCCTCGTCGTTGTCCTAGTCGCTGCTGTGATTTATTTTTGCTAATCTGTACTTGTGTATCTTCCTATCTGCATCCACATATATAGACATCTTGTGCTTTTTCAGGTTCTAATGGCATGGACGTTGTTCTGCAAACCTCCACGGTGCAGGGAGGAGAGGGAGGGATTCTCATTAACGGTTCCGGACCATTCGGGGAGAGTGGCGGAGGTAACATTTCTGCAGCAGGAGGAGTTGGTTATGGGGCTGGGGGAGGGGCAGGAGGAGCTGTTTATTTAAACAGTGGACCGTTGATTTATTCTGGAGGAAGAGGTGCTGACGGGGTGATCTACGTGGAAATGGTCGATTCAGGTGCGTTTTATAACTTTTTACGTTAAGAGTTAAATTACCAGATAAATGTCTGTGTCCGTATTGGCCTCCAGTGAAAATATATGACGAAAGTTCTTGGTAGCTGAAAATTAGAAAGGATGAGTCATATGGTGAAAGTGAAAACGCTTGAAAATATAGCGTTATATCGATCGAAGACTCAACCTACTTGCTTAGTATGTTCCTTTTTGGTTGTCTTTTTTTTTTTCTTTTTTGCTTGCTCGTTTACTTGTTTATTCTACTTAAAATGTCTTTTCTCTCGCAGTTTGTTTAAACTCAGCGGACATAATTTTTGCAGTCCAATCCAGGGATTCTTCAAGCGAGTTTAATCAGCAGTTGCAGTACATAAAAGACANATATAGCGTTGTATCGATCGAAGACTCAACCTACTTGCTTAGTACGTTCCTTTTTGGTTGTCTTTTTTTTTTCTTTTTTGCTTGCTCGTTTACTTGTTTATTCTACTTAAAATGTCTTTTGTCTCGCAGTTTGTTTAAAGTCAGCGGACATAATTTTTGCAGTCCAATCCAGGGATTCTTCAAGCGAGTTTAATCAGCAGTTGCTGTACATAAAAGACATCGTCAAGCATTTCCAGATATCTCATGACCACACACGGATTGCATTGATCAGTTACGGAAGCGAAGTCCATTTTAAATTTGGATTCAACGACTTCACTAATTCCAACAACCTACTGCAAGGACTTGCTAGCATCAAGAACGATTTAAACGCGAGCAAAGAAGTGCAGTTTGCCAACGTATTTGTGACTGCGTTAATAGCCTTTCATGAAAGTACATCGTCTTCTAAGGCGTTAGTTTTGTTTACGTTTGCCAGGGATATCACACAACGCACTTTAATGCAAAACGTTTTAAGTAATACTAGGGCCCAAGGAATTTCAGTATCGGTGGTTGCCATGGGAAACAGCACCAGCAAATTAGGCCTTGTTAGTCTTGTTGAGCATGAGCATGACCTGTTTAGCGGAGACGCGGCTGATGCTGAGGGAGTAGATGTTCCCTGGATTGTTGACTTCATTTGCCAAGGTACATTTTATTGCTTTGATTAACACAAACGAGGTGATACCCAACAAACGAGGCACGAATATTATGGAGTAATTGTCTAAATACTATATTCTTCAACCGACTGATAGTGTGGACATTTCAATTTGGTTTTAACGATGTGATGGTATGAAAAGGCGCCAAAATCTGTGGCGCGATTTAACTTTTTGCATTGAATGACATGANTTTGATATGTATTTGTTTTTCCACGGCTGTGATGAATTGCTCCAACAAAAAGAAATTTCAAAATTAAATCATTTTCCAACATGTATCTTTAAAAACATATACGAGAATATTTTACTTTGACCTCGACAAGCTGTAGAAGCTTATATGCACCCCTTAAATAATAGTAAAAGACTTGAATATATTAGGCAAATACGATTTGGTTTCGCTTTTTTTTCTCTCAGTTGTACCAAGTAAAACAGATGATTATAGTATAAGACAGAGTTCAGTCTTACCTACAGTTACTGCCAGTGCGACTGCTTCAGCCGGGTCATCAGTCTCTCAAAACGGAATTAGTCAGCGGACGGTACAGGAACTTCAAAAAGGTAATTTATTTATTTACTAATACTTACTAAAATTAATAAGGAAGTATTCGTTTACAACTGAAGATAATAGCAGCAGCACATCGAGACCTCTATTAGGTGATACATGAATAAAGTAGTTGGTGAGGCTGACCGCCGAATCAACCGATCAACTCATAGACTTTGAGAGCAAATTACCGAATTATTTTAATATAATTTTACCCAAATATCTAATTGTGTGAGATAGCTCAGCCAATAGGATTACAGCATTTTTGCTAAATTGAATACTTAATACGGTAAAATTCAAGTGATTATGCCCCTCATGTACAAACCAACAACTAACGATGTAGTGGCTCTCTGTTTCAGATCTGGATGATCTCCTCAGTTTTAATATCTCTTCTATCGATATAAAGGACATTGCTAAAATTCAGGTGAG